TAAATTATACATTTGACTAAAGCTAGTTTGTAGTTTTGTACCTACCCTTTTGAAAAAGGTAACAAACCACTATGTTTAAGTACAATATAAAGTACAAATCATTTTTTATACAACATTATTCAACTGTGTTACAAACAAAGACTGACTAATATGACATATTATAGATACATAGCCTTTCAAGTTTCTTCTTTCTGAGATATCCGAAAGGATCGTCGAAACGCGATCAAACCAACTACGCGAAATCAACCAGAGAAATGTTTCAAACTGGTAACGGGGTCATTTCTGTTTTATATCCATACAGAAAAAATTAAAAAATTTAAATTATTGGCAAACGTGTTTTCAATATTTTGAAATATGTTTTAAAGATATTTTGGTGCGAAATTTAATGCTTCAAACATTTTATTTACAAAATGTATAAATATTTTAAAATAACTTCTTCAAATGTTTCTATCATATTTAAATATTGTAAATAACATTTTTGAAAATGTTTAAATTTCATGCCAAAACATCATTATATTATACATTGAAAACATTTTTAAACTTCTTTGCTCTAAGACAAAATAATGTAGTGGTTATGTCCGTTATATATTATAAATTATAATACAGTGTACTTGCACTATAATGAAATGGATTATTTTGGAGTAGAGTTCAAAAAATGTTCCGACCCTAGGACTATTTTTAAAACTATGTAGGGTTGGGTGCAGAGCACGCGCGTCTGTCCCCCAAATGTCGCCGCGTGTGCTTCCAAAGAATTTTCATTATTCACCATAGCAAAGGGATTACTGTTAATTGTTATAAACAAAAAAATATACACCAAGCGTTTCTTTCATTGTTATTGCCGCTGACAATATTTATTGAGTATCACAGCTAGTTGTGCAATGACGATAAATAGAAACTGAGACAAATAAAACAAATCGGTGGTACATTAAATTTAATGTATAATAAATTATCAAATAATATACCGTAGATTTTCTGTAAACATATTTTTTTCATAACGAGTCCACGTGTAAAAAACGAGCTGGTCTCCCTTGAGAGGTTAATCGCGGCCATTTGACATTCCCCGTGATATTTTTATTACTTGAATCCACTCGCGCCTATGAGATCCATGAGATATAATTATGACCTATCGATTTCGAAAGGTTGTTCGTATTTCGAAAAAAAACCCTTAAGCCGGTCAATGTTGGTCTCACGCAGTGACGCAATTCGAATTTTGACGATGACCGGCCGCCCAACTATCTTTCTCGTTACGGCGCGGCCGTGTGCATGTATACAGATATAGATACTTATATGTCTAACGTTCAAACATATTTGTTTTTGATAAAATGCCGTTCGAGGCCGTTGCTCCCGCCGCTCACAAATCCACTTACCGTATCGCCTGCACTCTTACGGTCTTCGTGCGACTTACGTTAAACGAAAAACAAGATAACTGTGTACATTTTTCGAATTGCAATTAAGCCTCACCCGCAATATGTAATTATGCGGCGTTAATAATTTTAAATTCTCAAATATAAAAATAATACTGTTTAAACGTTACAGCCACTATATGTTATGGTCGTTTCGGTTTATACTTTCGGATACCCGCGGGTCCTACACACAAACCGTGCTTAGTGTGTTCCTATATCCTTTCACATGTTTGTCGCAATAATAGTATTTTTCAAATCGACTTGTCAAGTTCACGACAAACTTCGTGTTAGCAAATCCGGCCAACACGACGTCTAACAAGCACTAAGGCGCAGTACATGGCCCAATCCACAGTCTCACTAAAAATAAAAAGAGCTTAAAATGTATCTAGGAGTTGTTTTTGCGAGGCTCCGCTCGACTACCACTTATTAATTAGTCAGATATTCGAAGAATTTCTATGAAAAAGTTTCTTAAATAACACACTTTAAACAATTATATGGAATATAACGATATTGTAAATATTGTATTAGAGCCGAAAATATCCTTTACACCACTGCACCTCCCACCTCGTTTTAGCCAAATTAGCAGCTGAAATCATTCCTCAGTCCTTTTATCTTTTGATGTGTACTGCCGAGTTAATGAATATTAATCGCCTAGATGCAAATTTTAAAATGCTGCTCTTTACTAAATACTACCCTTCTACTGTTTTACCTTTTACCCGTCATAAAAATATAAATAATAATATATCAATATATATATCGACGTGTCCAACAAAGAGGACGTAACTCGTTAAAAAAAAACAATTTTTTTTTTTTTAACTGATAGGTAACACTAGTTTTCTGTATTACCGGTGAAAAAGGTAGTAACTCGAAGCGACTAAAGAGGTTCTGAATAATACAATTCACAATTGAATTACTACCTTTTTCGCCAGTAATACAGAAAACGAGTGTTCAGTTAAAAAAAAAGTTGTATTTTTAAATCGAGTTACATCTTTCTTGGACACATCGATATATTTACTTAACATCAGAACAATATTTAAACTTGAAATATTTCAAGTAGAACTAAATATAAAAGTATATTATGCATGTGTTCAATTTTAGAATTTTTTCTGACCTCAAAAGCTGCAAACTCTTTAATAATGACATTCCAATCTATAATTTTTCAATCTATAACTATTTTCAATATACATTAAAGCCAACGGTAACATCTTTTCATTAGATGATGGTGTTCTTAGTTAGTTTTTTACTCTCTTTAAAACTCAGGAAGATCTCTTCTCGCTACCGTTGGAACATGGTATTAGAACAAAAAGTGTTAAAGCTATTTTATCATTTGAAAAATAATAGTTTAACGCCGAAAAATGTATATGTATGTTTATTATACCTACATATTTTGTAATAGGTATCGAGCGGCGGATTTGTGGTAAGACATCCTATAGAGTATAGGAAATTGCCTAGGTTGGCAATAATTAAGATAGGAGGGACATTTTTTTCATGATCGTTTTTTTTTGAAAATTATATGAAACTTTATAAAAAACTTTAAATATGTGCTTCTGAACGTGTCAACTTGTAACTTATTGTCCAACAAAACTAAAGTTGCTTAAATGTTATCTTAATGTTAATTTTATAGTCCAACTTGGGTCTTGGATTAATTTTATGTTTATGAACTAATTGTTTAACATCTATGAAATCTAGTTATCGCGAATGCAACCGAACTTCAGTTAATGAAACGAAATATTGTTTTTGGTATGCATTGAAAAAATATTATTTTTCTGAAGTACTAAAAAGTACTTAGTTAATATATAATACTTTTAAGTAGCTATTTTTGAAAAAGAAGACATTTTAATTATTTGTAGATTAAAATTATCGAAATTATGCGTTCTATTGCATTTTGTAATGATAACAATTCAAATAGTTAAATTAATATTAATAGTAATTCCTACAACGCAACAATCGTGATGTAATGATTTGATAAATGCAATTGGACATTGGTAGTTTTTTTTTTCTGTGACGACAAAGAAAATTATGATTTCATTTCTCTTAAAAAAAAAGCCCTGCGTAGTTTATATCGGTATATTTTGGAAACGCCTGATTACGTTTTGGCGCCACTGGGCCAGAGTACTCGGCATTTGACATAAAAATAAATTGTTGTTTGGCCGGGACGCGCTAGCTGTTATGTTTTCCCATAGCGTGTGTCCGGGAAATTTTCTGTGCTTAGGTATCGATCGGTTTTCGGCGAACACCATTTTAAGTGACCTAAATAAATTTTCTATAACAACCAGGAAAAAGGCGGGTCCCTTTAAATTCGGCCGCTTCCCGTGGCAACTGTCCGGGCAGTGGCAAACGCGCAAAGCCGCCCTCCTTCCACCATTCCTCCACTTACGGACCAACATTTTTCACGTTTTATAATATAAAATATCACATTATATACATTACACACGTATATAATAATACAACCAAGGCCGAAATCATAACAACAACAATAACAACAAACTACTCGTCGCTCGCGGTGCGATGACCCCCGCCGCCAGAGTGTGAATGATCTCTCCCCTTCCCCTCTCCTTCTTGCAACTACTCCTACCGCTGCTGATGTTGCTGTTACTACTATTATTATTATTATTATTACTACTACTACTACTACTACTACTAATACTACTACTACTACTACTACTGCTGCTGCTGCTGCTGCTGCTGCTGCTATCACTACTGTCAGTATACCTGTACCTACTGGTACTGCGAATTATTATTATTACGTTCAGTCCATGCGATAACGTGGGTAATATTTATAGATTAATAATAATCGTCGCATTTGCGTATGCGACATGTATACGTCTGTCCATGTGTCGAGAGTAGAATATATTTTATGTGTACAACGACCCTAGCAAGAGACGTCGATTATGAATAAATAAAAAAGTAATTTCTAATAAAAAAAAAAATCCAAAAACGGCTCATCGTTCCGGATTTTCGAAACGACTCGTTTCTCACGGAGGAATATATTAACACGGTCGGCCGCGTGTCCGTAAGCGCAGTGGTGGGGTAGGGCGAGTACGGTGAGGAGGAGGAGCTGGAGGATGAAGAGGCGGACTAGCAGCAACTGCGGCCGGCCCGAAGACGTGAGCGAGAGAGATAAAGCGAGCGAGCGGGACGGATGGTTTTGGTCGGTGAGTAGTCGTCAAAAAATCCGAGTGGTACCAAAAAAAGAAAAAGGAAAAAAACAACAAAATTTTGTTAAACAATCCCCCACTAGAGTGTAACGCGTGTACGGTAATTATCGTACGGGGCCGTTCCTACGGTAATTCCCCCCGGTCGAGGGCGCCCCGCCACCATCCACACCTGTGTGCCTACACTGGTGCACCTGTGTGGCGGCCGCTCGCCTTGCCCGTCCCCACTTTGCGGCGTATCAAGTAAAAAAAAAAACAACGAAGGCGGCGGCGGTGAATGAAATTTTTTCATTATTTATTATTATTATTATCGACGCACCGAATTTTTACGGAACGGAATTTTCCCCTCTCGACCTTTTTGTTTTTTTTTTTTTTAATAACGTTCCCCTATGGTATAGTAGTGGTCGTCGTCAGCGGCGGCGGCGGCTAACGCGCGTGTGTCGACTCCGGTATTATCGTAAACGCATACGCCGATAATAACGCTCGCACAAACTCTATCGTGTCATCGCCGCCGCAGTCGTTTCTCACGTCCTCGTTAAATGTTACCGTCGCCGCGCCGCCGCAAAGTTGTTGTTTTCATCGCGTACGAATAAAAATATATCATTTAATTATATTTTTGTATTATTCTCGATTTCGCGTACCACTATTATGTGTTGTGCACCTTCTCATCGAGTGTTAGTCAATTCGTGTGTTATATTATTTATTATATTACATACATTTAATAGTAAATAGATTAAAACGCCGCCTCGTCTCGCCGTTGTTGTTGTTATTGTTTTGTTGTGTTCGCGGTGCGTTTCGTTACGGTGGGCGCGTATGGTAAACGGAAGCCGCTGTTAGGCATATCACCCTGTACTATATACCCTTCGACGGCCCTATTATTGATTTTCGTCTGAGCGTGAGTGTGTTTGTATACGGTGCACCACCGTGCAACGGAAAGCATAGGATAATATTATGTTTTTGTTGTCGTCCGCATGACTGTGGAGGAGGAGGTGAAGGAAGCGGCCGTGATAAGAAGCGGCGGACGGAGGAACCACTGTCGTTGTACATAATAATAATAATATTAATAATTTTTTTTTATTCTAATATGTGTTTTTGGTGGATCGATAAAAACAAATTTTGCCGGGGGGTATCTCCGCCACGGCCGCACGCCCACTGCCGTCGCCGCCGTCGTCGACCACGACGAAAATTATATATATAGTAAATATAATGTACGCAACCGGAACTAATGGGCCTCGGGAAAAGACAGTGTAAACAAACGAAAGACGCGAAATATTAATACTATAGAGGAAATCGATTCCGCGGGCGGCGTGCTGTACACGGCGGCGGTGGTAGTAAACAAACGAAGCAAAAAAATACAATATACCGAATGGAAAAAATTTTCCGCCAGGAAACTGAAACGAACGAACGTGCGCACCGCCGCCGCCGCCGCCGTCGTTTTTCGGTCGCGGCTCCAACAACACACCCGTCCGTCGCCGTTGGCCCTCGAAAAAGTATTTTTTTTATTTGTGCGCTAGCTGTAGTTTTTTTAACATTTTTTTCCACGTACCGACCGCAGTCATATCGACGGCAGCGAACGCAATTCACATTGGAATCGAGACGACAGAATAATATTTACATTCCCTGTGTTTTGATGATTACACGTCCGATATCAGGTAAACAAAACATAATATTATTGTTTTTATTATTTATATTATGTGCATCCGTTTTATGTGTGTGTTTTCCAATCAAAGTTTCGACAGTCTTCAGGTCAAACATTTTTTTGTTGCTCAGCTTAACTCGAGATGACCACGGTTGTCGCATATCGGTCAATCTCACCAATCTTAAGCCGAACAAATGTTAATGTTTGTTACTTAATCTTATTAATGAATTACAATATATTATATATATTTATACCAAACTGTCATCGATTTATGCTCGTAACGTGTTGTGCGATTTGCAATTTAAATCAGTCAATTCTTGAACTAGAATAGGTAATAATAATAATATGACAATGTTATCAGATGAACTATTCTAACTATTCGAATAACTCCTTCAAAAGCAATAATCCACAATTTACATTTCAATAGAACATACTGTCATTTTTGTTATCTCGTATGGTATGATTATAATTAAACATTTATCTAGTGTTAAGCAAGTTAACGTAGAAATGTATTCAAATTACATTACTCATTACTTATAAACGAGTAAAAATAATATTACTTTATTAGTTACCCAAAAAGAATTTCAACAAAATTACTTTCACATTATAAATAATGTATAATTAAATTTAACATTGAGACCTCCTTTAAAACAGTTTTATTGAGTTCCATTAAAAAGTAGCCAATAAAAAGTTTTTTTTTTATTATTCCAAAGTAATGTAAAATTAATTTTAACAATGGATAATTACTTTGTGTCGTCAAACATTAATAATTGTTAAGAAAATAAAATACCTCCTCAGCCTTGCATTGAAGCCTAAAATAGATTGATCAAGTGTTAATTTACATTCAACAGACAAAACACTAAGTTTTTAATGCCTTAATATCAATAAAGTTACATTTAGAATTGGCATATTATTATTTTTTGTTATAACAGAACATTTTTTAATAATATTAATCGAAATACTTGACTATCGTCAGTGAGTGAGCAAACCACACAAGTCGAAAATACCAATTTTTTTAGGAGACATGTTTATAAACTATATTTTGGATAACTTAATGTTTATTATCTTAAATAATGTTTATGTATTGTATTTTAAATTAAGAACTAAAAATAATACAAATATTATTACTATCAAAAAATTAGGCTGTTTTTTTTCTAGACAAAGTGATTTAATAAACTATTTTTTTTCTTATTTTGCTCACCGACATTATGTGATATTTTAAGTTTCAACTCAGTTTATCCTTGTTGAATATTGTTATATACCATATAAAAATACCAAATACAAAAAACCTTTCCAACACAAGCTAACTTTTTAAACTTTTTTTGAGAAGGATATGTGTAAAGAAATGACTGAATTAATAATAAAACAATTGTTATTTATTATTACTTCTTAGTAAAGTATTAGAAACAATCTTTAAATATTTACTTTATAAAACAAGTCAAAAAAATTTTAAAAATTACATTGTTATGTACAAAAACACGAACACAAATATAATATAATCATAAGTATGTTATGTTTCAAATTTCAAAGCATGTCCAGACGTGTTCTAATTAATTATTTTAACTTATACAGGAAAGCCAAGGCATCGTAAAATGTGGGATGATCTTATAGATTTAGCATATGGAACTACTATATTTATTGATTCTTTTTCTACAATATAATATATTAGTATTTATAATAATAAATAATAAAAATTAATCCAGTAGTATAGAGCTTATATATGAACTGAGACTATTGTTTTATATAAAATTAGAGGTTGGTGGTTGTATACTTTTTGGACATTGTTTACACAAACATTTTAATCCCGGTCCACTGAATAAACAAATGATAGCCTTCCTACCTAAAAATTACCTGATAATTTTACACAAAATGTGAATTGAGTCAAATTGAGTTTTGTCTATAAGATGCACTATAAATAGTGGCGTATATAATTTTATTAATCATAATTGGTGTATGAAAAGGGTTTACAATCGAATAAAAATGTAATTCTAGTCGATTGAGAACCTAAATAACCTTTACTTTATTAAACATCATTAATCAATATATATATATATATATATATATATATATATATATATGCACTATTAACATAAAATATATCTCGAATTTTAAATACTCATGGTGCACAATTAACATAATTAAGTATAAATTATTATTTTATTTACACTGATAGCATAACATATAGGTATATTTTTAAATCTTTTTTTCGCTGAATTATGGTAATATTATATTTACCTTAATGACTAGTTATGAATAAATAAAATAGAAATAGTATAAATTAACGAATCCTTGACATTAAGACGTTTTAAAAATATTTAAGATGTATAACACTTGTCTTTCTTCTTAAAAGTTTGTTATTTTCTTTCAAAAAGTGAATTTATACTTCTCTAGAACTTTGTAGCTTCTCTTTGAGATACAAGTAATAATGTCTTGATTGTGTATGATCATTGTTGATTCGGCAATGGCTATAAATCTATTACTGGAATACTATGAATAAATCACATTAAATTTAATTTATGATAAAATCCGGTCAGAAGTATTTTTTTACAATCATTTGACCTTCTTACAGTAGGTCCTATACCAATGTTATTTTGCTTTACCATCCACTTGTGTTGATATTTCTTATAATATTTATGTAGTTCCATAGTTTTTATGTTAATGTTGTTTTGTTTATTAATAAACATACAGAATTCATTAATGTATTTCACGGCATTCTAATACAAAATATAATCTTCAATATGAAGTAATAATATATATTTTTAACTCTTAAAATTATTATAAATCTCAAATTTTTCTTTTAAATAATTGTTTAGACTTACTACAAGACTAACTATACTAACTAACAGACTAGTTATTGTATTAAATGTGATGCGGAAAAGGAAAAGGGCCCTCTTGTTGTGAGAATCTATTGCAGGAAAGTTTAAAATATGAATTAGGGTTGGAAACATATTTAAAAAAAAGAAATATGTTATTTACTTAAGGGCATTTTATATTAATTTTTACCTAAGCTTCATTCCTTAAATATCTATAATAGTTGGCAACATTTAAAAACTTTTTAGTTTTTTTTTCAAAAACCCATTTTCCAAAAAAAATTTAAAAAAATATAACTGCCAATTTTTAAGATAAGAGAACGATTCTGGTCCAAAATATCTGAATATTTTAGAACAGAATCGTTCTCCTGAAATATGTGCAGAATTTGGAATAACCAATAACACAAAATTTAATATTTGTGACAAGATGTCCCTTTTCCCTTGTTACCTCACAAATATAATAAATTTAACAAAACCAAGAAATTATTATTTCCTATTACGCGTATTTTGTTATTAAATTCTCTTATTCTGAACTATAATTACATAAAATATTCATGATTATATCATTAAAAAGAATTTGATCTTATAATTTTATTAAAAAACAACTCGAAAAGCCCTCTTACTCATACAAATTTTTCAAAAATAACTTAATTTTCAAGCTAACTAATGAGAACGGCTTTGAAAGATTTGTCACAAATTCAGCAAATTTTTAACTATAACAGTAAACATTAAAAAAAAAAAATTAGAGATTTTTAAATTATTCTTTTTTATTCTTTATATTTATCCCTTATGTCTTAAAACCCTATGAACTTAAGATTTTTAAATGGTTTGTTACATATTATTTTACCTCTTTAAATTAGAAATAATTTGCTAAGAATGTTACTATCAAATTGTTCAAAGAATGAACTATCAAAATTGAAAACCATTTTTGAATTATTACTTTTAAAACTCACATAAATAAGAGCCTACCTAGTGTTACATTCTTCATATCACATGCAATAGTTTATCCAATCAATTATAAGCATTTTTATTAATAAACTAAAAACACTAAAAATTAAATAAATTAAAATACTTGGGAGTTGGAATTATGTAAATCTAGTTTGGCAGTTGCTTTAAAAGATATAAATTACTTTCATAAAAATGTTTATAGTATTTTACCCATTTTTATAAAAATTGTGTTGTTCCCTTATATTTTTGTGGATATTTAAATCTACAATCTCACGGTTCACGGCTTGGCTTGTGTGACCTTTGACTTGTGTCCAAAACACTACCATAAATCAGCAGATAGGCGCATGCCAAGCCGAAGAACTGATTTAAGACAAGCCAGACCATTCCCTTTATTTGTAATGAATCCTGAACTACTCGTCTAATCCCATGATGCTGTGGGTTGTGGGATCTTGACTTGACAAAATCATAAATTTAATAAGATGTTTAATAGAGTTGATTAAATTAAAAATGTATGTTTTTTTTTTTGCAAAAACTAAAGTAAATAAAGTAGTACCTATTTCAATCGCTTGTAAGCAGTTATACATTTAAAATGGTCTCCTGTAAAATAATCATTTTGTACGTATAAGATTTTTTAATTAAGTCATTAATAATTTAAGTCATATTTAAAAACTATTTAGTGTTATTTATTATATCTTTAAAAATGTCCTTGAAATATTAACACATCATATTAATTCAACATTATCGATTCTTTTGTGATCTTTACAGAGTTAATCTAGTAATGTTATAATTACAAGGCAAATATTGGGTAATAAATCCTATGCGACTTTTATATCTTTTATATTTTGTTCAAGTGTTTATAGTGGTATACCTAATTATAAATATTAATAAACAAAAAAATAAATTAATGAAAAATATTATTAAAAACTACTATTGAAATTTTCCTAGTTCTTAACCCTCCATCAGACGCACGGTTTTCAGTCACACTTAAATTAAGTGTGATTTAAGTAAACTTTTCACACCAATCATAAAACTATGTTATGTGATTAGGGTAAATTTTTACCTTGTATTAAAAAAATGTTTTTATTTGGTTTACCCTCGGTCAAGTGGTTATATTTTGCCCAAGATACTCAAAATTATTATTATTATTGTTGTTGTAGACTTCCTTTCTATGATTTACAAAAAAATTATGGTAGACACGGTAATTCTGCTCAAAACATATAAAAATGACTTTAAATTCTGAATATTTCTATACAAAAATAATTTTTCGATATTTGGCATTTAGGACATTCTTTGCTCAGAGTGCAGAATAATGTTATCTAATAAGTCTTTGTAGCTTTTTGACTTGAAAATAAATATATATATTTTTTTATGTTAAAAGATCTTAATCTGTTATTTAAATTTTGTTTTAGGTTGATTGAATTCTACCTCGGAACTATGTAAAATACAAAAAGGTTCTCATGCAAGATAATTTATTCTATAAGAAGCAGTGTGGTAAGTTGATTTTTGTTTTCCTTCTAATCAATAAACATATTATGAAAAAACAGTTTTATTCAGATAACTTAGTAAATTAAGTTACTTATGAAGTTAAGGTTTCCAACTGGTTAAGATGATCATCTCATGATTGTCATATAAAACATAATTTTTAACTAAAAAAAAATGTTTTAAGCAAAAATCATCATGGTAGGGACTTGACAGATTTGGGAAATTAAAACTTTTTAAAGAAAACAACTTCATAGAAGTAAGTTTAAATTTATACATTTTTTTTAACATGGGTGTATGTCTATGATAGTTTATAATATAATATAGCTAGTTATAAGTTAAATCTTGTGTCGAACTATAATTACTGAAGCATTTCATTGTAAATCAGTAAGTATTTAATTATCATAATTTTAAAAGTTGGTCTTCTGGGTTCTCATATTCCTGTATCTATTAATAATTGTAAATTGTAATAATCAAAATTGGTAACTTAATATTTTATAGGGATTACTACTTGTATTTGAAAGTAGCTCTAATAAAAACATTTACAATTTAGGCTCAATCAATTTATATTACACTTTGAACAACAAGTTGAAGATCATATAAGTTAACTGTATACTTATGTGTGATGTCTATTTATATAAATCAAACAAAAGTTTGAACTCGCTGTAAAAGAATATCAATTTTATTAATAAAAAAATGATTGTGAATAGTGAGTACAAATTTGTCATACTCAAATGACCATGTTCCAGAATAAAATACTGTTTGAGGAGCACATCAGCATTGACCAATTCTTATACTTCTAAGCTTTAAAAATTAAAATTTCATAACACACTAACATATTAAACAATTTTAAATGTTCAACTTAATTAATCCTACAAATTGTACACTTCTATATGCTAACTGCATCCTTACAGTTTTCATATAGAATGTGAATTTGTATGCTTTAATCTAATCAAAGCGGTTTAAGTAGGCAGAGATGCTTAATAATATCAATACGCTTTACCCATGTTTTATTTGATGAAATATATATTATTATAGGTGCTGGATTAACACTGGGAATCTTTATTTTATTTTATTTTTGGAAATGTTAAATATGTACTTGTTTTCTAACATGAATCATTATTTTTGTCCTAACTTTCTTTTATCCTTTGAGGTTTTGGGTATATTATTGTCACTATTGTTGTGAACCCTAATAATATTATTTAATATGCATTTATAGCTGAACTGATCGACTACCAGAGGCGTTTGATACTTACAGAGTACTATAAATTTACTGGTCTCCACACAAAAGAGTGGTTATCCCAAGATTCAGAAGAAATTCCTGGTTTGTTTCCACATCACCTTGATCCTGGTGCTATAACGATACGGACAACCCCTAGCACTGGGTCTGGTAATAAACGTATGCGAAATTCGTCCAATAGGTCGCCCGATGAAGCACGATGGGTTTGTCCAACCTGTGGAAAACGTTATAAATATAGTCGAGGATTGGCAATGCACAGACGGCTGGAATGCGGGAAAGAACCCATGTTTCATTGTCCATTTTGTCCCCAAAAATGTCACCAAAAAGGAAACATGGTTATACACATAAAAAAAAAACACCCGACCCAATATGAAGAACAATCACAGGCAGTTGTACAAGCTCACGTCAAAGCACAACAAAGTCAAAGTGATTAATACATAATAAAGTTTTTCCTTCAGTATTTTTGTATGCCCTATTTTCTAATATGGGCACGCGCTACTACTTAATTAGATTTTTTAAATTGATTTTATATTTGTATTTATATATATTTAGACATTTTATTCAAGGTCATATCCTATATAACACCATATTCATTTTTTTTTTTTTTGTTACAAGCAGAAAGTTTTAACACGTTTTCTTTTAGTTATTGAGTGTTGTTATCTCAACAGATAAATGAAAACTGAATCAATAACTATTAAGTTAAAACGAGTCTGTAAGTTATAGTTTTGTTAATGAGTATATGTACTTATTAGACAAACTTTAACAGATTGATCTACCTCTAATGATATGACCATGATATGCACACTTCCTTTGTCCCTCAATTAGGCTTCAACCGTTACCTATTTGATACTTAGCCGTAACTTAAATTTATATTTAATAACCGATTGCAATATTTGTGCAATGCATATTATTTTTTTACTCATAAACATTTTTTTTAAGCATTTTTTGCTTGTATATATGCAATAATTATATTGTTAATTTTTTTTATTATTATATTATTTACACTATCATTAACTTTATTGATTTGTATTTTAAGTTTTTTTTTTTAGAAAAGTATTAAAACGAATTTATAGTATTAGTAGACCAAAAACACTGAAACGAGTCTTCCAAGTGATAATTTTTAAGTTGATAGAACAAGCTGAAGTATATGTTTTTAAATTGTAATCTCGTTCCCGTCCCATTTCCCAAAAAATATTAGTTAATGTTTGACACAATATTTTTACTTGAAACGTTTACTTAAATCACCGTTATGTACCATATTAATTTTAATTTTGTGTAATTGTTGATGTATTTGTTTCTACTTAAAAGAAAAGAGAATAATATTTATTTATAACAGTATTAAGATGACAAATTATATTTATTATTTTTTGTATTATATTAACAACCCAAAGTATTATGGATTAGTTATTAATGGTATTTTATTTATTTGAAAAAAAAGAATGTATTATGAAATTTTTTTAAGTAAAATCATTTGTTGGGTTCTTTTAGTTAGCCTGAAACAGATAATATTATTTTGGTGGTTTCTTAAGTTTTCTTATAATTGTACTTACAAGTTGAAAATTGTTGTTTTTTTGACTAGTATTCAAATTTTACGTACAAAAATTATTTCGTTACATTTAATTGAATTTTGTAAATATATATTTATAAATTGTTATAATTTTTATATAATTTTTTTTTATTTTAACATTCAAAATCGTAATACCTTATTAACAACATACATAATATATCAAACATGATGTATTCAAATTGTATCTCGTATATATTTAATTTACTAATTTGTGTTTCTTTTTTTTTTACAGATGTTGTCTTAGGCTACTACTGAACTATTAAAGATAAGGCAAAAAAAAACTATCAACACATATCAATCAATTGCATACAAATATTGTGAAATCTTTATTTTTAAATTGTCTTACACTATTTAATATGTATTTGTTTATTTTCAGCCTATAAAGTATAATATATTTTTAATATGACATATTATACAAAAACTTTTACTTCTCAAGCATTGAAAATTAAAAAAAAATACTTTAAAAAGAATTTGTATAAATAGTGTATGGTTTATTATAAATATAATACACATGGTACACTTATATATTTATAATAATTCATGTTTTACTTTATTTTGTAGGCAATTTCCTTTTATAAATTTATTACCTACAATGTACACTGTTAGTTGAAAAAAGTACCTTTTTTGGAATTGCTTTGAATTTTTTCACGCTCTCTTGTTTTGCACTCGAGCATGTCTAGCTTAATCTATTTTCACTAAGTACTCATACTAACAGCTTGGTGGTTGCAGTTACAGGCGATGAAATGGCCACAATCACTACATCGCGCTGTGTGGTGAATAATCATTTGACCAACTTCAATTATCACCACTTGTCCAGTGTTATAAAATACCTAAATAATCAGCAGCATCAACAACAAAAAACTTGGACAGCGAATAATGCACTGTCAATATCACAGAGATATTTCGAGAAAATAGCACCAGCAGCAGTGGGTATTCCTGGTATAATGAATCAAAACTTCTATGACATGCAGGTATATACTGTTTTTGTTTTCTTAATATTGCTTCCTCAAAGAGGAATTATTTGTAAATTATTTTGGCACAATTTGGCTCTCTGTCTGGGTAGAGACTTATGTGGATTAAATTTGTTCCCTAAAACTTGACCAGTATATGTTAGGTTATCTAGATGAACTTATTAAAATATGGTGATTAGGTGATTATATTATTTCATTTTGACGCAAACATTTTTCTTGCAGTATATTATAATTAGATATTTGAAATTTAGACAGTTTATGTAGATGACTGAACTCAATATGTGTTGACAATTTCTGTTTCCTTGCTCAATAATTGTAAAAGTTATGTATGTATGTATTTATTAAATCTAGTAATCAACCAGTTGCTATTTTCATGGCACTATTCTACTTTTAATACTAAAATAGTATTTATTTTATGTTGCCATTTAAATTTCAAAGGGTTTCTCTTAAAAATAACTTATTTTTTTAACTTGAACATTAAAAATTAATTTTTACCATTTAAAATATTATTGATAGAATTGAATCGATTGAGTTAAGAAAGAAAAATTATTGGTAACACTAAATTTGGATAATTCTAGCTGATAGTTATATTTCCGTATTGTTTTTAATAAAATCAATTGAGGATTAAAGTCTGTGCATGCCTATGCATGTGAGTCTATACAATTAATTATGATGTTAAAAGTTCTACTTTCTCTAGGACTCCGGTTCAGATGCATCTGGACATGACGGTTACGGAAGACACCGAAGACATAATAGGGATAAAGAACCTATATTTCAATGTCCTGATTGTGAAAAACGATATCGCTCTAAAACAAGCTTGAGCTTACACAAACGCCTAGAATGTGGTAAGGAACCTGCATTCCAGTGTCCATTTTGCCCACTAAAAACACACCAGAAAGGTAATCTACAAGTGCATATAAAAAAGAAACACAATGAACATGGGGAACTTAACAGGACTTATTGATTAAACTAGAATACGATAAGACTTGTATAATTGAAACATTTTGAGAGCTTAATAGTGCCAAACCCTTTGAGTAAAAAATTATATATAATTTTTTTTTTTATTAAGTAACACTGGGATAAAACGAATGAAGTATCTTAATGAAATTCATACAAATCAAACAATAAACATAACATATAAAAAAACTGATAAGGCTGCTCAACAACATTACATGTGTTGTTTTATTTAGTAATTATAATTTTTAACGTTGATTTAATATTACATACTTAAATTTAATACGAGTAAAGTCTTAGATTATCTCTGTATATCCCTGTTTTTAGATGCCTTACATTGTTAGTGTACTACAAACTTAATATATTGGCATCTATAATCGACTGATCAAATAGAGCAACTAGTTTACTTCAATGAAACTCATTTTTAAGGAGCTAGTGGGTACATTAAGAACACGCAACTTCTTGTGGCAATCTTCTAGTTATTTGATAACTCAGTGTACCGAGCATGAATACTACAGGGTGATATTTCGTACAATAATGCTCGTGTACATTTAAGAACTGAATTTGATTTGATTTCCTTTTCCTAAATAATTAATAAATTGTTACAAGACAAATTATTTAACAAAAAATTTAATTTATATTGGAAATGTAAAATACTCTTAAAACTACAACATTTTGACTGATTATAGAAAATTTGTTAAATTATTCATTGAAAAGTTCTATATAAGTTTCTAACAACAATTAAAACACCAAATTAAACCCAAGTACTGCAAAAAGAAAACAAAGGGAAAATATAAATCAAATTTTTTTTACAAATACTAACAATAAAAAAAAAAAATTACAGTACAAATTATGTGTTCATTTAATAACCGTATTCGGTGATAACTATTAAGGATAATGGATGTATATTTTTCACCAAACGATTTTATGGACCAAACAATGATATGTTTGCATATCCATAGCTTTCAGAAAACATTAAGATCTTTTATGTAACTTTAACCTAATTATTGATGAGATTGGTATTCCATTGCCGTCCATTACTCTTTGTAACATACTATAGTTCACACCAAAGTTTCCAAAGTACAAATTTTATTAGGTTTAAGTTTTTTTTTAGTAGTCATAATAGTTGTTTTTATTTAGCAAATGTGTATTTTTCAAAATATTGTACAATACATTTTATTTTATGTTAAAGTTACCTTCTTCGGTTCCAGCGTACAAAATAAATATTAAATATGTGCCTTACAAGGTTTGGCTTTTCAACTTAAGAATCAACTCTTTTTGTCGTCATATTTGTTTTTTAGTTTTATTTTGTACGCTCTCGCGAGCTCAAAGCGTTTGGTACTATTATTATTTATCTCTTCTACGCAGAAGACCATCCAAAGAAAAAATATTATATATTTAATATATTACCTATATAGAAAATGTTTAAAAATAAATTTTATTACTGCAATATTGCTCTCTTGACCTTAAGATCTCTCTAAAGATATAAATTTACATATATATTGTATTAAAATAAATTTAAAACATAATACTAGCAATAAGAAACTCACTGTCTGATCATAATATCTGTGGACTGTATTTATTGAACTCGCCTCTTATTATTGAGTTTTCCGTTATTGAGTGCAATTTTTTTCTTATTTTTTTATGTTGTAACATTGTAAAAGAAGAATATTATATTATGTTGTGTTCCTAGTATTACTTTATATAAACACTTTTTTCTTTAATTTGTTCCATGGAACAAATCATTATTAGTTATTTTTAACCTACCTCGTTCAATTGCTTTAAAACAACACAAGTGTACAAATAATATTCTTTTTTTTTTTTAATTTATTTCTATAACTATTATTATTTAGCATTATTCTTTTAATTACTTTTAATTTGTATCATCACATATACACTAGATCATAAGCCATCAAGACTAAAAAAATACTCAAAGTACAAATTTACTATCGCAGGAATTTTTGCATATTATTAAAGATTAAATAATAACTATTTAATCAGTAGATTATATTCGTCTAGTATTATAATCTACAATAGTCTAGTATTTAAAGAAGGGGGAAGCTGTTTTTGTGTAATCAATTCTTATAATTTGAATAGACTTGCTTAAACACATATTTTACTTATTATTCTGATGGTAATATTGTTCCTTATACTTAAAACATTACAAATATTCCTATTATTAAGGAAATGGAGAATAAAGACGGTGGTTTAGTAACAATATTTATAAAGGTAGGTTATGTGTTTACTCAAGGAAATAAATGCTACATGGAAAAATCAACTTTTTAGTTCAATGTCGTGTTTGAGAAGCAATATAATACGTTTGAATTTAGCCGTAGCTGAGCATGAGACTTAGACAAAAGGCAATAACATTACTTATTCTTATGTAATTATACCTACTTAAAAGTATATAAGCCAAATTAAACACAACAGATTTGTCTACATTTTAGAGAGATCGGTATTAATGTTTTTGGAGAGGAGGGGGCCACAAACTTGCAATTGTTAACAGTATATAAAATAATAATTGATGTTATAATAATGGAAAAGTACAAACAAATTCTAAATTACAATTTTAGTACTACGGTTCAATCACGTGTTTGTATGTAATATTATTTGTAAAAATATGTAAATTTAATTCTATTATTATTATTATACTTATTATTATGATTGTTTTTTAACAAGTTTAACCCACCACCACCCTCACAGTACATAATAGGTCTACATTATTGAATTGTTTTTTCCTACATAGTTCCTATTTTTTTAGACAAACTATGCATTTTATCTTAATTTTAATCAATCGTGTTCATACTTGTGTAGATGAAAATAATTGTTTTCAGACAATTCAAAACGTGTAAACCATTATGTTCCTGACTTTTTGCATTTATAATAATATAATATTTACAATTTTACCACATTCACGCATTTTCCAAACTTTATTTATCTTCCTAAGTATTGCAAAATTATTTAATTTATTTTACGCATTATGATGTTATATTTACAAAAAAAAAATATGTTCTTTATTATAAGCAAATTATTTATCTTATTATTATTATATTGTTTGTGTAAGCACACACCACGCGGGCGCAACAGTATTATTGAATTATTTACTTTCTTCGTCGTACTATTTAAGCCTTATTTTGTTTTGCGAGTTTTAATTTTTTAATTTTCATTATTTGTATACATAAATGAGAACAAATATTTATTTAGAGATTATGTGTATATTATGTTTTGTGCACTACATTTAGATGCTTAGTTTTTATAAATATTTAAATACCTATATAAGAGTAGAAAATAATGATATTATTGTACTTTGTAACTGAAGAAATTTTAAAAGCAAAAAAAAATGTCATTTAAAGAAAACAATATATTATATATATATATATAAATATATTAGTTTTTGATTTTAAAACAATTTTGGTTATTATTAATATTGTTTAATATGTTTTTTTCAGTTTGTTTAAATTGTATTAAATAATAATACCCAACAGATGTATTGCTAAGTATGTAAAGCGTGTAAGTAACAGTAATCAAAAAAGACTTCGTAAAATTATTTCTGGCTTAGTAAAATATCCAGATTATAACAGTAGCAACGAAGGACCATGATTTTTTAAAAGTTCCACAAAAACAACGAACGTTCTAAATTATTCATTTTTATTGGAATAAAATCCCACACGCTCTAATTAAAATCACCAACAGCAGTGTTATTTATTATTCTTTACGGCACTTGTTATACTCATGAAAAAAACAGTTTAAGAATTCTTAATTTTTGTAAATTTTAAACGCTGTTTGACCTAAATTTTACTAATATTATTACTCATTAGTCTTGGAAATTACTCCTTTTACTGCGATTTAAATAAATGTGGCACTTCGAATTCGACCTACTCACAATTATGGTATTGATGTTCCTTTTTTTTTTAGAACTAACCGATGATTTAACATTTTGCAAACATAGGCCTTTTAGTTAGACCACCAAAACGGTACCGGGAATTAAGTTAATAAAATTTGCACGTAGGTCGCACGCACGCAGTGCATTATTTTAGAATAACACATTGTTTATACTTAGTAACAAAATATCTGGTTGAAGCGTATAAATTCTAATATGCTTTGTAATAATTTATATTTTATACCGCCCGTAATACCATACATAATAATGTACGTTTATAACAGCGCCACGACAACCGCCTGTGAATAACCAATATCATATCTGATTTATTACATCAATAATAATTGCTCAACAAAAACGACTAATTGTAAACAAAACAAATTAAGTAGAACAGGTAAAGATATCTTGCCCGGAATATTATATTTTTTAGTTAACGTGAAGTTTAGCATCGACTTGTGTACATATATAATAATTATAAAAATATTTTTTTAAGTAAAAAAAAAATATTATGTATATTTAAACGTGTCGGTTTTTCATGGCATATGCCCTTACTACCCAATGTCATAATATATTTATATATATTTCTACATTTTTTTGTTTAATAACTTCTACTAATCCTTGGCCGTTTAGTTTTTTTTTAAGCAATAGAAAAATAAAACATCTATCGAAGTTTTCGAACATTAGATTACAATAATTATCTATTTGAAACGCGTCAATTCAGGTTTTTGAACTCGTCTTGTGATTTAGGATACTAGTTGGATAATTGATACCTGCTTGAACTAATTTTCAATGCACAGAATACTGTATTAGTATATTAGCTAGTATGTGCGGCCAATAAACATTTACTATATTAGATACATATATTATCTTCCAAATATATTTATTGCGCCTTATAAGAAGTAAACAAGAATCAATAACATAAGAAAACTGGTTCCTATAATAAATGTGTATATATATATATATATAAATATCATATAAAATATATACATATCATATAACATAGTGTGTTGTCTCACGTTGTAATGAATGCAAAAATCTTGCCCTAGACAATATTTATCATCAATAAGAGGTTATAATATTCTGTATATTCTTTAGTCGGAGGTGTGTATGCCGTATATCTATAACCTATGACAAGTATTTATTATTTAAACTTGTTCCAGCCAAAAAACGGCATTGGCACAGAGCCAGAGATTTTAAGACATGGACATAACAATATACATACATTTATATGATTCGATGCGCCTACAACTGACAGTTGTCAACTGTTTATTACGTTAAAATAAAAAATTCCGCAAATGCATTGCAATACGCGCAATATAAACGAATGGCACAACCCATGATCCGAAGTTCAATTTCTACTTCAAAAATCTAACACGTTTAATATATGTAATACACGATTTTTATTCGATAATCGCCAAAATATTAGAAACGTTTTTTATTAATGATACTTGAGATATTTTATAATTACACCGAAAAATCCAAAATGTTATAATTGCAATGCATTTCAGTTGAGTAGGGAGATCTTTTTTATTCAAAACAGTGTTGAGGCACCCTGTGTAGTTAATTAACGCTCGTTTTTTTTATTATAAATTTCTAAGCTGAAGGTTGAAATAAAACTAAAAGAGGAAGCGTTAGGCGATTCGTTTCCCACTACGAGACGAGTAAAAAAATAAACTGGTTTTAGATTTGCTTATTTTTAACATACATAGTGGTGTGTGCGTGTTTTTATACATACTATGTGTGCAATAACATAATATTATAATACTATAAAAAATATTTTATAAAAACAAACGTTAACCTAAATCATTCAGCATACGTTTTTATCTCAAGGTGACCAAATGTTATTTTTATAGCAATTAGTATACAAAATTATACCGCAACCCACCTATACATATAATAGGTACCTATTTATTATATAGCTCGTAAGTAATCTGGTATTGATAATATATTTTCAGCTTTGATGCGGAGCTGAGAAGGTATTAATTATTTTTATCAAAAACAAACCTAATTTTTTTATTTTTCAAATGTAAATTATGAGCTATGTTGAAATTTAAACCTACTTCAAGGACCACTTCAGGTCGTTGACACTTGTAAATCGATAGGTACTGGCCTTTCTGGTGCATACTAGTAGCCTCACATCTATATGAAGTCTTCGCCTCCCAACAAAATCCGAATTCTCTCCCAACGATCCCTTTTAAACACGGTATAACGTATATTTTTTTTATTGTTTCAATAATATATCGATACCAATGAGCACAAAACACTGAACTGAATACATGGAACGCGCATAATGCATATTTTCCATATAATAAAAGTGACCCGCCTCGGAGGCCGCCATTTTGAGTCCGTTTTCTAATTTTACTTACCGTATCTAACTTTATTTAGTGATTTTCGATGATGGTTTCTGACTTCATATTGTTGATATCATTTTTATAACCGGTGATAAAAGATTATACGATGTTATCAGATTTTTATCATGGAATAAATGGTATATTACACAGTTTTATCCTTGACAGGACTGAAAATGGCGGAATCCGTGTGTAGCTAATTTATTTTCACAATGCACGTTCCATGTATTCAGTTCAGTGGCTCAAAGTGCTATGTCCATTTTTATCAAAATCGTTATTTGAGTATCCCTGAATTCGTTAATAGCACTATTGTGTGCTCAAAGGTATCGATTTGTACATTAAGGTGGTTCTTATTTGCACGCTTTCCGAATTTCAACTGTGCCGCCCCCAATAAGATAAAAAAAAAAATTAAGCCAACTTAGAACTTTCTAATTTGATCCTAATCATTCTCTGTACCAAGGAGAAGTTTTCCGTTTAAAATACACGCAGTTTTCCTATATTAACTTGATTATTGTATTACAAGGGCAAATTATTGACGAAACAAATGTAATTTATAGTGTTACTTTTAAGCATGAATTAATAAATTATCTTATTTCGTGCTTTTAGCTTCTGCTTAGTACCGTATAGTTCAATAATAACAAAGAATGAGTAACAAAACCAATACCTGATACAAATTAGGTCGGAATTCCGGAAGGAACGTATTTCCGAATACCAAAAATTAAAAAAGAAAGAATTATGAAGAATTTTTTAATAATTCGACAAATTTAAATTACTTTATATTTCTACAAACAATTTCCCGAGCTAGTATTTTAATTCTTTAAATTGTTTTATTACTTATTTAGTTCAGTTTTAAATATAAATATAAATATATATATATTTATATATATATATATATATTTTTTTTTTTTTTGTCTGTAAATGAATCAAAAAAATACTTTTTTTTTAATAAAACGGAACGGTTTTTAACCCTTTTGTTCCTGACATCCTCGTACGAGGATATAACTTTAATAAATCGAATAAAATATTAACAACGTACTATCGTTGACAAAATTGTTTTTAAACACAAGTTTTTGTATAGACTAATGATAAAAAAATCGATACAGCTATCTTAATAATCATTATTAGTCCGATATTATGGTTTGTTTAGCATCATAGGTTTTTATTATTTTCACAAATTAACAGTCTTCGTTTTTTGAAATTTTTTTAATATAGTTATAAATTTTTTTATAACAAGTAAAAGACTTTTTTTGGTAATTCATGTAATTTTAGGTGAAATAAAATTAATCTATTGACTTCGTTACTTCCCGACACTTGAAGAAGGATTTTAAATTGTGTAGTGTATAACTAGGCCAGAATTCTAAATTTACTTCTGAAACTTCGTTATCATTTCATTATATTTGTTATTCCTATACAAACACGTAAAAAAATCGTTGAATTATTTTTCGAAAAAAAATACCCAGGAACGAAAGGTTAAAGTTTTTCTTAAATAACCTAAATAATGGCACTAAGTAGGTACTATAATATTGGATTTTAATTTTTTTGTTATTATAAATAAATAATTTTTATTTTAAAATGTAGTTTTAATTATTTGGATAGAGTTGTGAAATACTCGACGCTTTATATTTAAATTTTAAATGAATGTTGAACACGTTTAGAATATTATAAGTGAAAATTCGTTATTACTAATTTTCAGTAAAAAAAGTATAAAAAACGTAATTGTGCAGTGTAAAAAATATATAAAATTACCCATATATTTTATTTGTAAAATTTGTTTCAATTTCAAGTAAAATTAATTGTTTGCGTCAATAATTTGCCCTAGTAATACAATTGCATGTATTTATAACGGTAAATTTCTCGTTACAGGAAATAATTAGGATCTGATTAGAAAGTTCAAAGTTGGCTTAAAATTTATTTTTTTCTGAATAGAATGGGGGGGGGGGCGCAATTGAACTTTGGAAATCGTGCAAATAAGAACCACCCTAATATACATACTAGCAAACTTCATACTACTAAATTGTTTAATATTTTAGAATAAGCAAGAGAGCCACAATTCGTTAATTTTTCGGAGGCAACTAGCTATCGCCCGGTACAACTAATCGTA